TGAAATAGTGTGATTATTTCTTTAATATTAATAAATATTTAATTTTTAAGGGTTCTCTTCTTTGAATAATAAACCCTACAGGTGTTTCTTCATTATTTTTTTTTAAAACAAATATGCAAAGTATCTATGCCCAGGACAATTATTTCAGTTCAATAATCAAAACAGAGGCCTCTGTTTTCATGTCCAAAGTCAATGCAGACTGTCCAAGCTTGTACAAATTGACTGATAAGAAATGGCATTGAAGACCCCATCCAAGCTGATTATAAGAAAAGTCATGCAGCATATAGTATAACATATGCCACATATATGAGGCTACAGAAGACAATATCCAACTTTCATGACATTGTTGACTACACATTAACCAGTACTGTATTTTATGTAAAAATGGAAGAATCAAACTTGACCTCTGAAGAAAAGCACTAAGTTGTATAATCAAATGAATAATTTATTTCTGCAGTACTGGGCTAATGGTAGAATAAAATGACACTGACCCTAATCCATCAAGCTGTTTATATTCAAAGCATCGATAGCTCTATAATGGTATGAGTTATTAGGGGGCACACTAAACACCCATTTTGAAGACATCTTTTAACTTGAGAGTCATCAGAATATGTGTACTAAATCATCATTTATATCCTTTCAATGCTTACATGCACTCTAAAGGTAATGATTCATTTCAAATGATCCAATGACTTCCAAGTTGCAGGATTTAAACTCTTTTGAAACTTCGCAGAATCATGTTATGATTTCAATGTACTCAAGGCTTACCTAAGATAGAGTTAAAATTTTTTGTAACAGGATATTGCATGCAGTTGTTGTGAAGTTGACTCATACATGACGGAGTTGATGCTTCAGCATATCCAGACTGTTATTTATGCTACTGAAGGACTGTCATGCAATTATAGAAGTGTTTCTTTATGTTTCGGTCATTCCATCTAATGAAATTTAATACAGATAGATTCTTCTCATAGAAACGTAATATAAAAGGCTTCAAACCACTAGCAAAGGAAAAGTAGTAATACTTTTTCTTTGATTTTGTCTACATTATACAGTGAAATACGTTTAACGGGAAAATGCTTAAGACGAAATATTGGTTAACACAAAATAATACAACGCTTCCAACAAACTACTATGTATTTTCGTGCAATTTTTTTCTCTTAACACAAAAAGATTTCCCTTCTGGGACTGAACAAAATACGGAAAACATCAATTGCGCAGGCCAGATTTAAGAGAGGTGTTTTCATGTTTCATAGGAAGGAGGGCTAGTTTCACCCTCCACCCCCTACAAACGCCACACAAAAATCTTATCTCTCCTCAGTTGCCTTTGGAATTCGATGACGAGTACTTCGCAGTGTGAGTAAAGATCTATGAGTTTAGTTCCCTCCCCACCATTTTAGAAGAATTTTTTTACAAACACAATGGCAAAGAGCTTGGGAAAGCAAATTCTTATTTCGCTTAAAATAAAGATGGAGCTTCTTAAGGCTGTTGATCAAAAACAGAAGGCGAAACGGAAATCTGTAAAGCTTTTGGTATTACTAAGTACTATATCAACAATAATTAAAAAAAGAGAGCAAATTACGAAAATGTTTGAATGGAGTAAATTTGAGCCAGAGAGAAAACAGATGAGAACAGTTAAGCACGAGGATTTAGAGACTGCTTTACTAGTTTGGTATGCACATATAACTTGATCCCCAATGTAAGCTTCGCATATCTGAACTCGAATCCTTTACTAAATTACTTTATAACAGGGCATGGACCCTTCCCCACATATTTCTACGCAAGAAATTTGGCAAATTCTGATATCTGTATATGTGGGGAACAGGGAACTCCTGATCATTACACTTTCTCATGCCTCTTAACTGAGGATATTCACATAAAATCCCCAAGAACTGACCTCCTGGCATTCCAAAGGTTTTTAATTAAAGATAAACATCAATATCCAAAGTTTCAGAAAATTATGCAACGACTCTCTTCTTACGGCCTAGATCTCTGTCAAGTGTAAGTCCACATACAGTTTAAACTTAGTGAACTTTTACATGCTGTGATTATGGACAAAATGGCTCCGCTCGTGAATTTTACAAATTGCAATAAACCAATATATCTGAAATAACCCTTGGACACCCACCTCTTTAGCATTACATTATTATAACAATTCATTTTAACATTGTGTTGCCAGTACTAATTATAATTATCTCATTATGTTTATTTTGTTATTAATTATGTTTATCTCCCTTTTTTTTGCACCAAATCAGATGTTCAATTTATCTTGTGAATCTCAAATTGTATTCCGACTATTTTGTAATCTACTTATGCCCTACACCATTATTTTTAATAAATACTGGATGCAGGGCGTACTGTGGAATTGCACGATGTACCAAAATAGGCAAACTCTAGACCTTTTGGAAAGCTTCAGTCTATGCAAATTCTTATAAAACTTGCAATTACCACCTTTTTTTTTTTTTTTTTTTCAAAGAGTTAGTATGGGAAGGCATTACCAGTTGACCTATGGTACATCGCTGGTGTCCCCCATACTTTTACCTTTACCTTTACCTTTACCTTTACTAGTTTGGTTCAAAGAAGCAAGATCCCAGAATGCTCCCATATTGGGACATTTAATGCTAGAAAGAAGCAACGAGCTTGCTAAACACATGGGTATTATATTTTTTGAAAATCCTGGATGGTTAGAACATTTCAAGAAAAGAAATGACATAGTACTAAAAAATGCTTGTGGTGAAGCTAGTCAAGTTTTACCGACCATGACAGCAAATTGATTTCAGTCTATGTTGCCTTCAATACTTGAAGAATATGAAGCGAAAGATGTCTTCAACGCGGACGAAACTGAGTTATTTTACTGCTGCTTATCCAATAAAACTTTTGCATTTAAGGGACAATCGTGTTCAGGGAGAAAACTGTCTAAAGAATGAATTACGGCATTGGTAGGATGTAACTTGGATGGTTCTGAAAAACTACCCTTATTTGTTATTGGCAAAAGTTTGATACAGCGGTGTTTCAAGAATGTAAGAACATTACCAGTCGAATACACACCAAACAAAAAGGTATGGATGGTAGCTACAATGTTTACCGACTGGATCGTAAAGTTAGATGAGCAATTCTTTTTGAGAAAAGCATAGGGTTGCAATGATAATTGACAATTGTCCGGCTCACCCCAACGTTGTATTGAAAGCTTATCTTTTTGCCTATGAGTGTGTGCAACAAGTGTCCTGCAGCCTTATGATCAAGGGATTAGTGTCCTGCAGCCTTGTGATCAAGGGATTAGTGTCCTGCAGCCTTGTGATCAAGGGATTATACAAAACATGAAATTTTTCTACCGTAACCAATTGCTTAGAAACTATTTACTCGCAATTGAAGCAAATGAAGATTTCTCGATCATTTTATTAGATGCTCTCCATATGCTGTATTTTGCATGGAATTAAATGACTCCAAGGACAATTGAAAATTGCTTTTGTCATGCAGGATTCTCAAAAGTATCAGATTTGTTGGCAGCAAAAGAAATGGAGAAGGAAGCTACTGAAACTGAGCCGAAACTTAAATGTTTGAGAAAGATTCTGCATTATTGGACTGCCCTACTGAATCTATGGAAGAATTCATTGCAGTAGATGATGACAATATGTGTACTGCCCCAATTATGACAGACAGAGATATTTTGGAGTTTGTTCAAAGTTCAAAAAATATCATTGATGATCAGATTCCGAAGACCAAAATTAAATGAAATAGCAGCTCCTGTTACCATGTCATCCGAAATGAGGAACATCATGAAAATTATGCGTAGTTATTTAGACACACATTCCAATGGTGAAATGAATATCAAAATAGACGAGATCCAACAATTTATTGACAATTTGATGCTAAAAAACACAATGCAAAGAAAAATATCAGATTATTTTCCAAAAACTCAATAAATGTTTTGTTTTTAAAAAACCTAATTTTATATTAAATTTCATTTAGTTCTTATGGATATTTTTGTTTCATTGATTTTTATTAAAAAACGTATATATACATATCTATGTAAATAAAATGCACTCTAATAAACCTAATTTTGTTGAATTATTAGTCCAAAGGGATTTGAATCCCGAAGGACTATTAGTTTCGTTTTGGCATTTTGCGTCGGACGGATAAATGTCGGTTCACTTTTCAAACTGTTGCCATAAAATGTTAGAGTCCTGCATTATATTTGAAGAAGAAATTAAATAATGAAAATTTGCGTAAAATGTATGTATATTTCTCACATTGTCATAAAATAACGGGTACATAGAGTCATCGAATTTTGAATAACGTAATCCTCCAACGAATATGAGCATGTGGAAGACCAAATTTGAAATTTGTTTTATGATCGATTTCCTATTTTTTAAAACTTTGACGAATTTTTGATTAAAAACTCAAGGATTTCAAAGCGAAGCAATGGCAACGTTATGCAGAAAAAACATTTTTATCTCCAGCGCGTGAGTCTCTGTATCGGAAATTCTAAAGATATGCTCGTTTTAAAACTATTTTGCGATATTGCTGTTGCAGCACTGGATCTTATGGTTTAAGTGCGAGGAACATGATATTTAATAAAGAAAGGTAACACACAAAATGTTAAAAAAACGCCCCTTTGGACGTAATTTAAAATCTGAAACATTTCAGATTTTTTTTTTTTTTACAGTTTTTATTATTTTTTTTTTTAAATATCCTTCAAACACGGAAAAACATTTTAGTCCCCACAGTTTCGTGTTACACGATTTTCACTATATTTCACTGCAATCTCTAGTTTAAACCATGAATTTAAATTTTGTAACCAATATAAAAATTTTCAGAACAGCACTTAAAAGTATTTATATAAAAAATCTCATAAAATATTTATAACTCTCTTTCACAAACTCAAAATCCAGTACTTGTCAATCTGAAATGTCCATAATGAAAGCAATATGTATTTCTTATTATTGAATATGCATGTAACATATTTTGTAAGAATATCTCATTGGAGAAAAAATTTTACTCACTACTTTATTTATTTTTCTCGCAGCTTCAATTTTATGAATTTCTTCAAAATTAAGATCTTTCTGGGGTTTACGTAACTGTGCAAACAGACATACTTTTGAGTGAGAATAATGCTCTTCCCTAAAAAATAAAAAATTATGGTTATTTCATATTTTACACATACACTATTAGACAATTAAAAATCAATCTAAGAATTCTATTAAATCAATTAAAATCTATCTTCAACATCAGCTTTTAATGAAATTATTTCATAGTTTTTCCTTTTTGAACCATAAATTGCTCCAGTAGCTTGGCTTCCTCTCACTGTTATTGCCAGAGCAATGGCTTGTCGTTATATTACACTGACTTTTGTTGCTTTAACTCCCTTATTAAGAACATTTCTGTCTTGACCATTTCAGGAGCAGTATATAAAAGAATTTAAATTGTGATAAAATTTTGTATGAATTTACTTATCCTAAGAATGCACAGCTGAGACTTCGAAAAAATTTAGAATGAAATCCTGAATTTTTAGGCCGGTATATATTTTATACCACTGCCTCTGCAAGATATTTTCTGTGCAGCTGGTAATTGTTGACTTTTTTTAAAATATATGTTTGCATAGTTTTGATGTGTGTTTATACAAATGGGTGCTTGAATATAGTTATGTAAGACTGAAGTCAAAAAGTTCAATAACTTCTCTAGAAATTAAAAATTTTAGAAATAAAATGTATTATTTTTAAGCACTTTAATGATGCTCCTAATCGAACATACTTATGTAAAATATGCATAAAAAGTTTTTAAAAGTGATTTAAGTTCAATATTATTTTATCAAAAAAATTAGCAAATATAACACTGCATGAGTAAACTGTATCATGCTCTAACCGAACAAGTCTAATGTTACAAGGAGATTTAATTCAGATGAAAAATAAAAAATTTAAAAATGAAACACTACGACTCAACTGAGAAATTAAAGCTAATATTTTTTAAATAATTATATTTTATGCTTTAGATAATAAATAAAAGAACATGCTTCCTGTTATGATATGAAAAACCCACTCCCCTGTACACTTTTGATTATTACGCACCATAAGGGCTTCTTATTAATTTTTTATAAATACAGGTTGTAATATATCATTTTGTTCAAGAAGAAAAGCCATTAAATGATTTTATTATTTGATACAAAAGCTCTTACTTTGATTTTCAGCCCCTTAAGCCCTTTTTTTAAGTTAATAATAAATAAGGTATATAATTTTGCTCAGGAAGAACATCTCTCCAGTATAGGTATACCTCGAAGCCGCCTTTTTTTTGTTAGGCCCGTGGGCTCATGGAATCAGTGGATATTTTTCATCCAAAGATAAATGTTTTGTCCCTAAAACTCGCATTAGAAATACCCCCCCTTCACCAACTGTGAAGATTTATTTAAAAAACTGGCTACTTGTATCCTTACCCAGGGAAAAAATTCCTGTTGTGTTCCATCTGAAATCGACAAACACAATCCCCTAAAGCATGCTTTCCAATCAGTAGATTTTCCATTCCACTACCAGGACAAAAGAGATGGACCTAAAGTGCATGCCTATTTCCCATGTTTGTAAGTGAGCTTCCCTTTTGTGTGATCTTGTTGGAATACCGGTATGGAGGCAGTATGACTAAATTATCCATCAATCCCTTGTTTTCATTTTCGTCACATTCTAGGGTTTTGGAAAACACGTAGCACGTCTTTTGTGGCTAAAATGCCACTTTTGCCCCTGCAATTGTGTAATATTTGACACCAGACAACAATTTTGAAACTGATGAGCTTTTCTCAAGGGAAAGGGTGAAATGGTGAAATTAAAATTTTAGCTAAACAGAGATGAATGAAAACTGTACTTGAGTAAGCAAAGCATAAAAAAAAAAAATTTAAATACTTTTATTCATTCCTAACACAGGGTCAGTAAACTCTCCATCCCCCCATGAACATACTTAATTCTAAACAGCCTGTAAATTAATCATAAACAACTATATCATATTACATCATGGGCAATTATAATATAAGTGAATTCTGTCAACCCACAGAGTAGAGAAAGAGAAGCCTGGTGTTGCCATCTATTGGCAAGGCACCCTCAGAATGGGGGCTAGTATATTTTATATATCGGTCTTAAAACCATATAAATAATCTTTAAATTATCAGTTTTGATTGCAATGCAATAAATATATAAGGTTCAGTATGTGTACGTCAATATATTTGCAGATTTTGAAATTTCCCCTTTCCAATAGAATTTATGAATCATCAAACATGATATCTTTGAACAAGGTATATTAATTTCATAACTGCATAATAATGAGCATTCATAGGGTAGTGCTGCCAATTAGAATCAAAAGGAAACAATAAAAGCTCAAGATAACAGCTTTTGGTATTGGAAAATTAGCATTTTTTAGGAGGTTAAAAAACTGACAAACTTCCTGTATATTTTATATGCACATGACCTTTAAAGGGTTAAACGTTTATTCTGCTCTGGTAGCAAGTACATATTTATTTTCAGCTTGATAAGATCCTACTTTTCAGCAATGTTCTCGATTGCTGTAAAATATCAAGGCAGTGCTGCCTTAGCAACATTATGGGACCCTGGGAAAATGAGTGTGATGGGGGCCTCTACAAGATATAATGAAATGCAAATGAAACATAAATGAATTAACAATAGGGTCCCTATGCTCAGTGGGCCCATGGGTTAAGACAGGCTTATGTTAAGGGCTCGATTTAAACAGTCTGAAGCTCTAAGTACATGACTCAGAACAGAAGGGCTAGTTCATAGAGCTTCCCCCCCAAAAAAAAAACAGGAAGTGAGGAGTGATGACGTTATTATATTGACACTAACTGCAATTCTCACCAAAAAAAAAATGAAAGTTTTAAATTTGAAAAAGAAAACAGACATACTGTGTATCAAAAATAGCTTCAATTTTGAAGAGAAGTTGTTATTACTGTATGCATTTATAACATTTAAAAAGTTCATAATACTTATTTATTTATTTTTAAATAATAGATAAAATATGCAACGTTTTCTTAAAAGCTGCAGGTTTTTTCCCCTATGCATTTATTATTAAATCATGGAGGAAAAAACTATTGCAATCATTACCTTTTCTTCATCTGCATACTAAGTGGGAGAATTCTGTCACTCTTTCTAAGATAACTATAATAACGGCCTTTTAAAGTTAACAAGGGAGGAAGCACTTTAGTTTGCCATAGTTTTGAATATATATGTCATTTCATTTTTATGCAGTAAAGAAGAGGACTCCTATATTTGATTGCCATTGAAATGAGTAGTTTTATTTAAAATTTGAGATTACTTTTTTTAGCCTAATTATAAAATTTACATTGGCATGTTTCTCTTCCGATTTGATACATCAGATATTTTTTTTTAAATAATTGTATAACTTTACTCACATTTATATAAATACATTACATTTAAATAAATACAAGATCATTGTCTTAAGTTTGATAAAACAACTTTGCTCACAGTATCTAGAGAGAATTACTTATTCAAAAGAGGGGAGAAGGAGGAAGGTCTTTTTTATGTGAAATTACTTTGATGTTGTGTATGATTATGTGTATGATTATAAGTTACCTAAAATGATGAGCTAGCTTTGTTTTTTTTTTTTTTTACAAATTATTAATGCATTTTTGTTTATTTTTACAGTTAGAGCATTCAGCAATATTTAGATCGTCATTTGTGAGTTCTGTTTTAAAATCACTCATATCTGATTCATTATTCCTGTCATCATTTTTATAATCGGCCTCAAACTTAATTCCTGTAGTCTTCCAAAAGCACACTGCATTATTTTTCTTTTCTTCGCACAGTATGGGATTTTAACAGTTTCTTCTAAGGCAATCCAAGTAAGTGATTTTTCATGTTATCTTCACAATCACTGCATAGAAAATGTTTGCTGCAAATTCTTGCATTCTTCACAGTAATAGAATCCTATAGTCAACACACGTAGCCTTTTATTTTTTATTTATTTTTTTGCTAGAAGCAAATTCTCCTTTGGAAATATGTGAAATACAATATCCCTATCTCTCATTTCCATGAATTTTATAGCACATTGCTCCCATGCAAGAAGACATTGCACACGGGCCAATGCACAAGTAGCTTTGAAAGTAGCTGATGGGCAGCAATTATAAAAAAAAAAGAGGGGAGGACAGGATTTTTTTTTTTTTAACAAACCAAAATTTAATTTAAATATCCAACAAAAATCAGTGTTATATTTGCAAATTTTCCAGGGTTAGGTTCGATGCTTTTACCGAACCATCTACCTCAGCTGCCAAATGAACAAGATAAGAATGGCTAGACAGGAGTTAAACTACTAGCGCCATTTATTGATGAAACAAGAAAACTAAAACATAATTTCCTTAAAGGCCAAAGGTAAAGATGGATTGGAATCAGGGTTGTTAACTAGAACAGAAAGTTTTTTTTTTTTTTTTTTTTTTTTTTAAATGTGAAATTACTCTAGCATATCCAATTTTGTTGTTTGACTTCTAAATTAATCGTTGTTCGGCATGTTATTTCAACCTAAACCAAAATTTGTCAATGAAATTTAAAACTTTTTACTAGATATTTATAAAAACATACAAAGAAAAATAACAAATTTATACTTATATTTTGCCTGAAATCTAAAAGTTGATATCGGCCTGAAATTTCTGTTGGTCTGAATTTGGAATTCAGACAGTTAAATATTAAAATTTTCAGACTGACATTTATTCCACTAATTCTAATATATTGAACCACTAAGTAACTTTCTTTTAATTTAAACTAAAAAGAAATATATGAAAGCTTCCCAAGAGTCCCAAAATTTGAGAATAAATAATGAAAACCTATTCTCTTTCTTTTATTTATTAGATTTTCTATGACGCAAAACAGAAATAATAATATTTGTATGTAAATTATTGTAAACATCTTTGTCTTTTTACTACACTTTTCAGTTACATCAACTCATGGCGTTTCGATTTTCATGAAGTTTGTCATCTTGGAGGGAAATTACTAAAAAACATCATCACAAATTGTAGATACTCATTAGCAGTCTGGTTCTTTTCATAGACTTATTAATTTTCAACTGCAAAAAACTGTTCTCATGTAAATTCACTCAAAAACAAAGCGAGTATTCTTACTGCA